CAGAATAACATACATAAATTGCATGCATATATAATTTGCATGCATATAGACTTCTTATACAATCATATTGCACAACCAGATTAAATGTCGTTATATACAGCAAGTCATATAAAAAATTTATATGCATGCAAATTTCATACAAAAAATTTTATCTTGGATGAATGATATATAATACCAGAATTGAGGTCGGTCGTACAACTGGTAAAGTTGCATGTTCCATATCGCACCCTGGGCGCTGCAAAAAGTGGCAAATTATATCCATCAACAAGACTAACATCATAGAAATCCATTTGTTGTCCTGTCCCAAGGGTGATCTCAAACAGGGTAGTCGGAGGTGCAGCACCAGCCCCGGCGCACTGCAACTTGCCACCGCAGTCTCCTGTTGCACAAAAACCGACCCCATTGCCATCAAACTCGCACCCTGTTCTCCCCCATATCCTGCCTGACCACCCTAATGGTGCTGCCAACCTTGCCGAATGACTTGGATCGAGCCTAAATCCCGTCGACAATAATTGCGATGTTCCGGCGCCAGCCAGCGTCCCAGGCCAGATTGTATACGGGCAATTGTTTGATATTATGAAGTTACAAGACACCAGGGAGTGGAATTTGAAAAACAGAAGAAAAATAAGATAAATTTTCGTCAGCATGATTGTTCTTGTAGCATATATTTGCTTATTGTATTGAGAATGAGGGATTGTCAGGATTTTAAATTGTTTCTAGGTGATGGAGAGTTTGAGAGTTAGTGGGAGGTTTGCTGTGGTGGGTCTCCTTTGTGGAAGGGCATGGAACTTTTTGTGAAGTGGGTGGCCTCAATTTGAAGTAAAAGCAATGCCTTGTTTCTTATGGGAAGAAATAGGGTAAATTTTATTGGAAGAAAGGGGCCCAGGTGGGTCCATTCTTTTCTCTGAACTTTAGCTGCAATTTTCATTTTCAGGCAGTAAATATGAGATTATATAAGTTGACACCTTGGCCTTTGGAAAAGATGATGCTTGAGAAAAACTTGTATTCTAGAGAAAAAGTGTTGTTAAATTTGTTAAGCAAATTTTATTTTGAAATGCCACCATAATAATCTACTTGAGCATGCACAAATATTAATTTATTTTAGATGAGATGACTTTGATAGCCAAATTTCAAATTATTTGAGCTCTAATTTTAACAAATTTATAGTTAA